AATGAAGCTTTAACAGTATTGAACTTTAACTAGACTTTTAAAGAAAACCAGCTTAATATTAAAGAAGATAAATAAATATAAAGACTCAACAGAAGAAAAGTAAAGTGAATGTTCAAGTGAAGTCGAAAAGATTACTCTATGAAGAAACACTCTCTTTAACATTATCTTGTACGTTAAACCAATAAGAAATATTGAAAAGGCTACTCTGTGAGAAACTCACCTGATGTTGATTTTTACACTAACACGAAATCACTGATAATTGCTGTTCTAATGCGAATTTGAACTAACAGTACTGCCCGTGATTTCACCCTTATTTATTGACAGATTCCCACCCCCAGGTTGGGTGGAGTTTGAGTCAAATTTTCCCCAGATTCTTCGCGTAGGGAGGAGCTTGTAATAAGCTCAAGCCCTGAGTTCTACGAATTTGAGAAAGTTCTCGTTGGGCGGTAGAGCGACGTACTTGAATAGGATGATCGGAATTTGGGTCAGCTTTTGTGTATAAAAATCTTCCCTTTAAAACTGACGGGCGATGCCCTTGGAAGATGCTATCCTACCGCTACTGTACATGTCAACCTTTATTTGCACGGCTTCTATGCCCACTTAGGTAGTCGTTTAGAATTTGTTGGTTTCGTTATTTACTTAAGTCTTACACGATGAAACATTGATTTGGATGAATCATCTAGAAATAGAAATTTTTCAAAACGCCTTGTTTTTATATGAAACCTAAGCCCCGATCTTTAATGGGCGAAAGTTACTTGTGGAATTTTCACTATATTTGTTCTAAAAAAGCGAAATTCACTGGCTTTACATTTTCAGTATTAAACACCTTTGAAGTCAACGTTTAGAAAGGTTTATTTTTGTGGTTGTTGTAAAGTAAGTTTTTATTTATCTAATCTTCTAAAATATCCTAAATAATAATCCTCTAATTAATGTTTATTTGCCAATACGCATCTGAACGTAACTGATAAAAAAATCTAAAGAATCTTGCCTTGAAAAATGTAAAATATTACCAAACTCCCTGAGATAACAAAGCCCATTTGATTAAGTTACCTAGATTATTACAAATTAAGTTCCCAATATTATGCAACTTTTAGTCGAGATGCGAAAGAAATGTATTTTTAAATACATTTAAACTAATTAATTTATTCAGAATTATACCTAATTTTTACTGAAATTAAGTCAGTATTTGAACACTTTTCATCTATTAACCACTCGTAAATATTTAAATGCAATCATTGATGTCGATCATCCATTCAATTCTATTTCCGTAATTGTAGTGCTAGAGCGATTTCAATTAGGTGATTGACGCACCAAACAAAAACACTATTAAAAACTAAACGTTTTTTTCCGCAGCTCAACTGGTTCAAAGATGTTCGATAATAATCTACAAAAACAAAAATAATGTGAAGTTGATTTCACGGTTGATTGGGATGAGGATTTTTCACGACCAATTTGTTGTGGGATAATGAGATTATTTTTTTTTACATATTACATGCGGGCTTTTTCACTAATCAAATAGTAGCTATATGGACTTCAATTTTTATTGACTTGACTTGACCGGTTCTTAAATTTTACTCAACATTCTCGAAGAATTTTGGCGGATTTTTTTATATATTGCGCACTTCGTCTCTAAGCTGTTTCTGTTTCAATTTTCTGCAACAGTTTTGTTATTGCCATCAGGACGTGAAAGTTATAAATCGGTTTTAAATATTCGACATTGAAAGCGGATCCATAAATCCTTTGGCAAGTAACATTGCGACTTGCTGCCTTTACGATGTTATTGTTGCGTGCTTTTTGCTTATTCATCAGTATTCATAAAAGGATTTACAGGATTTTCAATTTAGTTCCAGGCAATTACAGCATTAAAATCTCGTCATTTTGTTCTCATCTTAATAGTAACCAACTAAATAATATCACGCTTTTTTACTCGTCTTTTTTTACATTTTTACGTTTTCTGTATCATTGATATTTTTAGTGTTGTCAATGTTTTTTCTTGGATCAGTTCGCTTCAATAGATCCATTTCATATTTAGGAATAAAACGATGGCGGTTTTTTAGACATTCTGAAACTCCTTTACTCTCTTCAGGTAGTGGGTCTTCATGAATAAACACACATTTAAAAAAGTTTTCATCTAATACAAATAAATGGTAATTACACTAAGTACAAAATCAAAGTTGAAACAATTAAACAGACTCTAACGAAGTCAAATTGGTGTTTCCAGTGTTGAAAAAATGAAAAAGCACTGCTTGAGGGCTTCTTGGAACTCCCCCAATTCCTGGTTAGGCATTTTGGTTTCCGTTCGTCTAATTTCTTTGATCATTTTTGGGACGGCTTTCTCAGCTTCGATTAAACTGCCGCTTTGCAACAGTTGGAAGGTTTCAACCGCTGATTGTTGGCTTCCACCAATCACCGGCAGGCAATTATACATGCCATAGTCATTTAAACAAGCTTCGCAATTACAATCGAAATAGTACTGTTTTTTCAATTTTGCCTGGCGATCTGCTTTTGACATTAATGCGTAATGTTGACTAGAAAAGAAAAATCAAAACTTACAATTGTGCTAAATAATCCTTCAATAGGATACTTAAGTTCAAATTAAGGTCTTGTAAGTTCTAGATCATCAAAAGAAAAAAATGGGCTTAGGAAAAGTATAATAGAAAAATGTGTTGCAACATTAATAGAAGTGACGATTGAATAAGAATATTCTAAGATCAATTTTGAAAGTTTTATGATAGCAAACGAGTTGACTATAAACATGAGACTCCATCTTCAAAAAAAGATCCCGTTTCCTAATTCTCTTTGGCTTATTATCATCAGGAAACCCATTAATTTTCATCGTTTCATCGAATATCATATTTTCCATTACCATAAAAATACAAATGAGCAAACAGTTGGAAAATAACCGAAATACGACCAATAAAATCGAAATAAACTGTTAGAAAATGGAGAATGTGTGAAATTATTTATAACTTGGAAGGACCATCAAATTAACACAGCAAGACCAGTAATTCCAGCCGAAGTATGTTAAACATCGCTGGATCACTGCCAATCATATATAACGTCCAAACTAATCAACAAACCTCAGTGAAATTTAATCAGTAATTTTATGGCGCCAGATTCAAAAACTTTTGGGGCATGTTTCCTTTTCACCTCTATATTAGTGGGCTGTTTGATCAGAAAACAAAGCTCTTGATTTATTCGGAAATTTCAAAAAGCAGTAAAATCTTACCCGTAGTTCTCAAAACATTGTTCTCCTTTCCGAATTGACCTTATGGTGAAAATCGCGGCAACTGATCCATACTCGTACCGCGATACGTTAGGAAAACACGAATGATTGAACAAACTCAGAAAGGAATAAGCTGCTGACCCCAGTGTCCAATCGGCATCCCCAACAGTTGATAGTCTTGATGATATCTGTAATAAAACATACATATTTATTTATGAATTATTAGAAACACCAATTTGAAGCGCACTAATTATTAATAATACTTTGCATTAAAACACAAATCAGTTGCATTTTGCTATATAAAACATCAAACACAACCACTTCAAAAGAATTAAGACTAACTCATCGCGTCAGTGAGTTATAACCCATCGCGCCTCACTGTGCGGTCGTGGCGGCATAATTCTTGAAATCAGAACTTTTAACGGACATTTTTAATTAGTTGAAATTTCGTTGGTTTCTATCAACAGTTTAATTTTTAAGTAATTTCTACCCTGTTTTTTGGTTTAGTCAATATTTTTGGAAAAACAAAATTAATTCGGTTATTAATTTTAGTTTTGGCGTTGTACATTAATACGCCATTTCACTGTAGCTGAGTGAAATCCAGGCAAATACAAATGGCTCTAAATTTAAAATTAAAATAGTGAAAGATCGGCGTTTGGAGCGTTTTCGTTTAGTTTTTGTTGACTTTCGTTACTCTGGAACGTGAAATTTGCCTTTATAAATATTCTGAATATTTATTTATAAAAAAAATATTGCAATGCGAACAGGCACTTTCTACAAAAACATCAACAATAAACAAACTGAAATCGAACTGCCAAGTAAACCATGAATCATCGAAAGGGCGAACAATTAAATGATTAAATAATCATGTTTATTTGGTAATTCTGTGGTTTTCTGGAAAAGGTGTATGAATTTCAGTTTGCCGAATGGGTCGAACATCGTATTCTTAGATAGGAAATATTGAATCATTGTGGCCTTTATGGTAAGTGCGGTAGTTTGTGAAAGTCTAGTTCCTGAAGGTTAATGGATACAAATGGAGGATGGGGCGTCAGCTTACAGAAACCTGGCAATAATGATCTCTAATCTATAATCTTTTAGCTTGAACTGAGTCTAGTTTTCCGCCAAGCAACTGAAGTGTTGTGGATTATTTATATTTCTCTCTCTTTGCTATGCTGGTTCCAAATACTTTCTCTTTTTTACATCAAGCTCATTTGAAGCTGACCTCCAAAGAACCATTTCAGATATGCAAATATGGGTTCCAGTTTTTTGTTTTTTTGTTAAAAAACTTTTCTGTTTGTTTTGTTTTCTGTTGTTTTAGTTTTGCCTGCTTTTTTATTTCAAAATCGACTGAAACATGAAGCCACCTTTTTTGACGTTGCTCAAGAACCATTTGAGCCACAGAGTTCGTTTTTATATCTTTGGATAGAGAATTGGTGAAACATTTTACTCGATTTTATCCAAGATTATCCAGCACAACTTTTACTCACTTGGTGAAAGTTGCATGGTCCTATCTGCATATGAAAAAGCAAAAGTTCCTTAAAAACACCTTCGCAGTCTTTGGTTTCGCCGTGGAAAAAATTCGTGTGTTCCTTCATCAAATGGAAATATCCTGCTGCACTTGTTGCCCTGGAAAACAGATCGGATATCGATCGACTTGACGTGTTTGCCACTAAATTAAAAATTTCCTCGTATCTGCAATGGAAAGACAGGTGAAGGGAAAATACAGCAGCTTTATAGAACGGCTTTACCTGTCGCTTCTGTAGATTTCATCCGGTTTTAACTTGCATTGATCCAAGCTTTTATATTTGTCTCTGACCACAATCGTCAGTTTCAAGTGCAACATTTTAGTTTCGTCTAGTTTTCTTACGCTTACTACAATGGGACACTCGTATTGGTGGTATTGTTTATTTGCTTCAGATTGGCAAGCTGTACTACAAAACAAAGCCTGAGTGCAATTTAGGCATGGAATCAACGAGTAGCAGAGTTTTAGGCAATGATGGCAATATATGTGAACTTTACCTGAAAGTTAAAAGTGAAGATTAAGAAAATAACTGTCGGTTTGCAGAAATAGTCCTGCCTTACTTTCGAGTATACTGCAAAATGCTTTTTCCACTGCAATTATTTCTCCAGGCTCTAAATCCCTTGTTGCAACCACATAACGTCCAAAAGCTCCGGAATATTCCACTTTCACACTGTTTGCAGCTGATTGAATTAAAGCGTTGCTATTTTTTTCGGATATTTCCGGCATGGGTTTGTAGAAGCAAAGCGTCTTGCTTGCGCTGAGAAGACGTTCGGCTTCGGCTATTCTTTTGATCAATTTCGGGCTTATATTTATCGGATAATTGTTTTCTAGAGCCCGATGTGCATCCTGAAATGTACATTGGAAAAATCACAGTCACACGTTAAAGAATTTGGCTATTTTAAGTTGCTTGATTGGAAATTATTGCAATGTTGTGAACTTACTTTCAAACATTCTCCATACAGCTTTTTTTTAAATAATACAGCCGATCTGTTTCCGTAAGCCAGGGCTACGTTTAAACTTCCAGGTTCGGCCAGCGCAAGGCTTTTGGTATAGAGTTGATGAGCTTCTTTGTGTTTTGCCTGTATGAACATGTTGTTGCCTTGATTCCTGATGCAAAAATGAACTTGATTTAAATTTTCTTCTGTTTGGTAAAAATCTGAATTTTTGTATGGTTTTTGAGAGTTTTTTTGCTTACCTATATTTCGTACTTTCCGTGTCATTTTTTGCGTCTCTTATCAAGGGTGGTAATAAATCCTTAGTTTTGAGCAAGTCATAGACAAAGTTCACGCGATTTTCATTCGTTTCTAATTGGGCAAATTCTCTTGATATGGGTAGAATTATGTTTTCTGCTTGCAGCCGTTCTATCAGCTGCTTATTCAAATCCCTCTGATCTAGAAAAGAACATTCGATTAATAATAATGTCGGCAGTTTTCACCCAAAAAGCCAGCATTTCTAGAGAAATTTATTTAAATTGCAAAATCCGCTCAAACACGACGCCGTTCTTTTAATCATATCTCAAACACCATTTGAGTTAAACGCGCGTTTCCCTACCATCAGATAGCGAAATAAAATACAATTACAAAATAGCGGCAGTTCCCAGACAAAAAAATCAATTTCAATCACATCTTTAAATGTACGTTTAGGTTTAGGCAAATATTTTCATTCACGACGCCACTTTTTCGCTCATAACTCACTAACAGGTTGCGCTAAAGCACTCGTTTCTTCACCACTAGATAGAGGAATAAATGCCAAATTAACAAAGCGAAGCATCATTTGGAAATTGATGGCAATTTAAAATAAGGCGAATATTAAAAGACGACTATTAGTTTTACGCGGTTTCAAACATGCCGTCGCTCTTTTCGCAATATCTCAAAAACCAATCGGACTGGATTGAGAATTAAAAATTCTTGCGAAGCGAAACATTTAAATTGTTCTGGAGTAGAAACGACGACGATAAACAAGAAAAATAACACTTAGAAGCGCAAATAGAACACGAAAAAAGGTCTCAACAGCAATCACATAAACTCCGCTAGTTTCAAAAATTAGAGTTATTGAACCCATAAGCACAAACAAACTAGAAGAGGAAACAGAGGAAGCTCAACAAAAAATGAGCAAATCATCTCCAAAGCTACCTACTGCAACAGTTTAAGAAGGAAAAAAATGAAAAAAAATTTTTTTGCGAATAATTTACACTAATTCCTGCCCGTTCACGGGACATTGTATGGTTGAAATTGAATATATTTTGATCCCTTAACGAACAAAAATAGAGCTCATTATGAAATGAGCATGAAAATATACAGGCGTTCTTCAACGTCTGGCAACGTGCGTGTGGTGGACCTTGATTGCATCGGCATTCTTTACACATCATAGTATGCCATATGCACCCTCTCTACAAAATTAGTTTGGTGCATTCGTGCGTTGTGTTTTACAGAATGTGTTTTTACATTGTTTATATTGCCTTTTTTTCGCCTAAACACTTTTTATGACCAGGATTAAGCAGTGACATTTTGGTGTTGTCTTTCTTGACTTATGGACGTCGCTTCACTTTGACATATGCGCGTGACAATCACGTCGATATTAGTGACATTAACGTTCACATTTGTCAAACATTGTCACGTCTTTTTCACGTGATTATCACGTTTGGTGCTGGCCAGAGGACAAAGTGGTTGGTAATTTGCAGCCACTTTGAACACAAACTGAAGCTAGATATACAGAAACTGCGCATAGCTGTAGAAATAAAATATATAGATAATTCGAGCACAAACTCGCAACCGCGCCAAAAGTGTACTTACCTGCAGCCATGTCGCTAGTCTTTTGATATTAAAATCGATTGATGGTCACCTCATTCAATAACAACTCTACCGTAGTTCAGATCCGGCCAGTTAAAACAATAGAAAGAACGGAAATTGCACTGTAGATATTAGAAATGTCGTTATATTCGACACCTTTTGTCGTCCTAAATTTGGGTTCGGAAATGATATTTGTAGTTGCTCGACGGCTACAAGCACAGAATATTTCGGAGGAACGGGCCGTACTAGGTGAAATCTGGTATTTTTATCTTATGGCACACACGCATGAATGGAACACTTTCAGTCGTTCACGTTGCACTAAGTTGATTATTGCTAGACATCCACTGTATGTGCTTTTCGCTAAATAGTATTTTTTCAAAGCTGATATCCATAAATCAACTTCCTCTATGGCTTCCATGAGCTTTTTTCTTCCAGGAGAAACCAATTGGCTTAACACATATTTCAGGGATTTTTCTGTTCGTGTCACTTCGGTTGCCTGACATAGTTATGCAGAGAAACCTGTTGCTCAGTTTTAGCGTTAGAAGCTCAAAAATTTTGCGATTTAAAAAAAATTTCAAACCAAAGATCTTAAATCAATTATATCAATTGTGTACATGTTTTTACTCTTAACATTTTTTCCACGTTATTGTGTTTAATCCTCTCATTATATTTTTTAGTATATGTATTAAAAAGCTTTTTTCATATATTTTCAGGTTTTATTATCACTTCTTCCACTTAGAACTATAATTTTGTTTCAATTCTTAAGCAAAAAAAGAGATAAATAAATCGTCGATCTTGCAAAGTAAATCATAACTGTTTTCCTTTTAATTAACATAAGAAAAGAAGCAATTTACTATAAAATAAATAACTTCTTCTAAAATGTTTGGATAGTTAAATAGAGATTTTCAATATTTAAAATTTTCAATAGCTAAATCGAGATTTTTTGTTATTTCTAAATTTTTCGATAGTTGGGTTGAAATTTTTAACTACTTTTAAATTTTTTCAGTAGTTTTTTATTAAATTATTTTATTAAAATAAATCAGAAATTTTTAAATAAATCAGAAAAACACCAAATGAAACAATTTTTAACTAAAAATTCGTATACGTACTAAGAAGGTAGACTTTACTGTAGAATTTCCATAAAATATCATATATGTATGTGGAAGGATGGAGATTATTATCAATAATCGATAAATCAACGTTTTAAATATATGGAGGCCGATCTATTTATATAAAGAATAAATTATTTAAATAAGCATGGTTACTTTTATGTTTGGACGCGACAAGACTAAGAACGCTCGAAAAAAGGTTTTTTTCATATCTTTACCGACATTTTACAAATGATGGAGGTCGATTTAAAAAAAATACTTGTAAAAGTTTTTCAAGGTGTCTCCAATTTCACCTAGAAGAAAGAGACTCTGCAAACTTTAGATCCGAATAAACCGTTAATTTTGGAACCGTTTTAGCGATTTTTGAGCGGTCACGAACTTTAATCGACAATTTCTTCCCTGTTATTGACTGAATTGAACACTATGTATGCATATCTTAGAGCCTCTAAGGCAGGAAGTAGTCAATTGAGCCCAAAAGTTACGCATGTAAAATATTACCAAAAAAAGTTACAATAAGTTTTACAAGACGTAATTGTTCATTTCAGATAAAATGTTAAAATAAGAAACCATTTTGCGCGAAAAAATATCAAGTTTATCGGGGGTTTTTCTCGAGAAAAAACACAAAATTGCTCGTTCATCTTCTGCGTTTTTTTTCCAACCAAACAATTTCGGGTTGAAACAATTTAAGTCTAACGGCAGTTTTTCTCGGGTAAAATTGCTTGTTTGGTTGCATCTTATATAAAAGAAGCAAATGTGTCGTTTTGTTACAAACAAATTATTTTCTGTATCATTCTTTTGAAACAGCCCGCCGTTAAAATTGTGTTTTATTCGAGCAAATTTGTTCCTCCAAAAAACTGGTTTATTACGAAAAAGTCAACAACATTCTTAAAGACACATTTTTAAGAAAATTTCCCCAAAGCCTCACCAGACAGGCTGGTTTTTATCATTTTTGATATACATGAACAACTCTATATAAAATATAAGAAAAACGAACAAATTTGCGCCAAAAACCTCGATTACACTTGCTTGAATTGTATAAAATGAAAAAATAAAAAATTCAGAAAATGCGTTTCTAGCATCAATCATTTTTAAAATCCACTCTTAAAATTATGTTTTCCAAATCCACTATTAAATTGTGTTTTTTAAGGCAAAATGAGCCAAAACGTCATGAATAACGTATTCGTTCATTGTATATAAAATGCGAGAAAAACTAAACTGTGCATTTTTGATGCGATTTTTTTGCGCGAAAACCTCAAGTTTAATGGAGGCTTATGACGAAAGTTTCTTCCATTTCATTTAAATTGCACAAATGCATTTTAAGGACTTTTTGGCATGATTATTTTCTAAATGCTCTTCGTTGAATTCGAGTATTTTTCCGGTAAATTTATTGGGTTTTCTTTGTCGATAAATAGCTCAAATTCAACAAGTAGGTGTTTTTCAACAGAATAATACAAAGAAGAAGAAGAAGAAGACAATTTCAGAAAAACGAATAATTTTAGTCTCGAAATTTTTTTGGACAAAAAACAGTTAAACCAGGGTTTTTTCTTTAAAAAATGGACGAATTTGCTTAAAAAAAAACCGTTAAACTTGACTTCTGCCACGCAAATTTGCGTTGTTGGTCTTACATTTTATATAAAATTAATAACTGCGTTTTTCGACCCTTTTTCATCATGTTTTCATATAAAAACCGTAAGTGAAACAAAAACAAAAACGAGGCATTCGCTCAGATTTCAATTATATTGGCAATTTTTACTGGTTTTTTAATTTAATTTTGCAAACTCTGGTTAATACAAATAAAGTATCATTTTTAACGGCTTTTAAAGACAGAAAAGCAAGTGATACTTTTACTAAACTTCTTAACCAAAAAACTTCGAGACACTTGTCTTATTTTGTTCCATTGTTAAAAGCAAAGTATATTGATTTAATCGGTTTCATTGTTCGGGCCTTATTATATACTATCGTAGTTTAATAATTTACATGCGGCATTTATTATACAGTTCCAGCTTTTGCGCATTTTTAAGTATTTTATTGCTGGATATATTTTCGCCTCAATAATCAATTTCGATTGTTTGTAGCCCGTTCTATTTTCAGCTTCTTGTTTTGCCACCGCTATTGTTCGATATTTTCAACATTTTACGTTCATTACTTTAAGTAAGTGTCTTTGAACGGGACGGAAGTTTTCCGAAAATAGATCAATACATATTTGATGAAACATATGCCCGCTATTCATAATGAGGCTACACTCTAGCAAGTCTATTAAGTATTAACTGTATCAGACCGTTATATCTATTTTTTTCTGATTTATTAATATTGAGTAGTTTGAAGCGTTGAGGTTTTATGTAAAAACAGAACTGATTTTAAAAACTTCTTAGTAATTTACAACATTTAGTTGAATTTAAACAACTTAAGCCGCAAATTGAATCTAGAATCATGAACTAGAGCCATGGAAAAGCTGTATTAACTAAAAATGTAAAACTATGTGATCATTTTCGTAAATGAAACTAATTTTGTTTAAAGAATATCATCTAAAATGAAACAGGTGTTTTATTCATTTTGGGCGTCTTAAATGTTATACGGTCCTCTTCTATCTCTTGTAAAGCGAATGTTTTTGTCCAGATTCAGCAAAGCTTTACGGATTGTAGAGAAAGCTGTAAAAATCGCCTTTTAAAATCTGCTAAATTCAAGCACGTTTTTCGCTTCTTGTTAGTTGCATTTTCACAAATATTTATTCCAATTTAAGTGTTGGAGGACTTAATTGCTGGCTTAACTAGCAATCGCCTCATCAAGGAACTAATGAGGCCTCAGACCATATACAGCCAAGAGGCTGTTAGAGAAATCATTGAAAACATTGCCAACAACTCTTCGTCCATGAAGCTGGATGCCATCAGCATGAACAAGCTTTGGGACTTGATAACCATGGTGTTTAAGTGGCAGGCAAGTTTTGCAAAAGCTCCTATTTTCGCATTACTGCGAGTGAATGTTTAGCTTGCAATGTCTTCTGCGGCAATTGAAACCTCTCAGCGACATCTGGCTGAATTGGAAATGTATGTTGCGAGCGAAGGCACCCAGTTGCAGTTGCACCGAGTGCAAAACATAATGGAAAATTTCAATAAGATCCTAAACCCCCAAGAAAAAGTTGAGCTCCATAAAGACCTCGTCAACTGGTGTCAAGTATGGTCTCCCACTGTGTTTCTTATCCAAGTCTCCCACTATCCATTTGCAGAATTTTCATGTTAGAGTTTCCCTGCTACTACGAATGGGACTTCAAGACAACGATGGCCAGTTTATCGTGAATAATTTGGATCCAGTGGCGGAAAAGCTGCTGGAGAACATCGGCAGCAACATCTACGAGGCAACCGAGAATGGACGCATCTTGGAAAACCGAGAAAATGACAAAAAGGCCTCGTTGGCCCTGGAGAATGTTAACGAGCTCAACTGCTTCGTGGATGAAATGTTGGGAGAAAGGAAACTGAGCTCCAGCAGCACAGATGGTAAGAACTCACTTAACAGCTTCAGTGTCTTCAATTCTTCACAATTAGGTAGTTCCACTCTCTTGCGATTATCTTCTCTGACTGAAACTAAGCTGAACAACAACGGCGACGATAGATTTGATAATATTGATGTGAACGTGGGTGACAGTGAGCAACTGCAGCATCTGATGACCGATTTGAGCGTTCGAGACGATTTGGAGCAAAACAGTTTCAAAGACGATTTGCTAAGCATGATTGAGGGCGGTCAAAGTGATATAGTTTAGATTTCATTGCTATCTAAGTCTTTAATGTGTTAAGGATAATAAGGGTTTTCGAATTTGATTAGATTAGGTTTTTCAAAACTTTTGCCAATAGTACGTAGGGACTCTACTGGCAAAATAATATAAGCAAATATAAACTATAAACTGTTGAGTATTTGGGGCTTCGAGGCCGTCGTGGAAAATAACTTTTTCCTGACGTTTCGCGAGTACGAGTGGCTGGCGTCTTCAGCGGTGGTTGCTCGAAGCAGCAAATACTAATTTAATTTGTATTAAAAAAGTAATAATCGGTTGCCCATAGTGCCTACAATGAGACGCAAGACAATTAAATGTTCCTCGAATGATTAAGCAGTAATCAGCGAATCACACAATTTGGAGTTATCTACGTGCAATTTTTACATACTTAGGTATATGAAATGTTTTGTAATCAATATTCTTACATTGGCGCAACTCGGTAGAATCTTTGTGATTTTTTCTACCTTATTCAGTTAGAAATTACTTCGATTGCTCCTGTTCTATAAACAATTTAATTACATTTTATGTTGCAATGTACTACATATATTTATATTAAACATATTTCAACTATCCTGATAAGTTTATACAGGGTGTCTCACGGTCAGCGTCCATTAGACTATTTCGACAACTAATGGGATTTGAACCCCGCAAATTTGGATAATGGGATTTTCGGAGACGCTCTTTTCAGATGAAATAACAGCGACATTATGCGACTTACGGTTATTCCAGAAGTTGTCTCAAACCTACTTATTTTGACAATAAAACACCCAAATGACTGCGTGCTTTAGGGTGGGAGATCCGAATTTTTAAGTGACCGGACGCAATTGACGGACACTATCAATTTTGCGAGTCACATTAACAAAGAAGGCAAAAATCAGATTCCGGATGGATTTTTCTGAAACTTTCCACGTCCATCGGATCAAATGTCTACTCACGTAGGTAAAATACTCAACTTCCTGCGTGCTTTAGTTTGGGAGAAGCGAATTTTTAAGCAAGCAAGCGCAATTGACGGACAACATCAATTTTGTGAGTCCCGATTATAAAGCCGGCAAAAATCAGATTCCGAATGGATTTTTCTCAAACTTTCCACGTCCATCGGATCAAATGGCCACTAAAGTTGGTAAAATACTCAACTTCCTACGTGCTTTGGTTTGGGAGGCGCGAATTTTTAAGTAAGCGAGCGCAATTGACGGACACTATCAATTTTGTGAGTCCCATTAACAAAGAAGGTAAAAATCAGGTTCCGGATGGATTTTTCTGAAACTTTCCACGTCTTTCGGATCAAATGTCCACTAAAGTTGGTAACAGTCTCAACTTCCTGCGTGCTTTAGTTTGGGAGAAGCGAATTTTTAAGCAAGCAAGCGCAATTGACGGACAACATCAATTTTGTGAGTCCCAATTATAAAGCCAGCAAAAATCAGATTCCGGATGGATTTTTTTGAAACTTTCCACGTCCATCGGACCAAATGTCCACTAAAGTAGGTAAAATACTCAACTTCCTGCGTGCTTTAGTTTGGGAGGCGCGAATTTTTAAGTAAGCGAGTGAAATTGACTGACGTCAATTTTGAGTCACATTTGCAAAGAAGGCAAAAATCAGATTCCGGATGGATTTTTCTGAAACTTTCCACGTCTATCGGATCAAACGTCCACTAAAGTTGGCAACAGACTCAACATCCTGCGTGCTTTAGTTTGGGAGACGCGATTTTTTAGTAAGCGAGCGCAATTGACGGACACCATCAATTTTGTGAGTCACAATTATAAAGCCGGCAAAAATCAGTTTCCGGATAGATTTTTCTGAAACTTTCCATGTCTATCGGATCAAATGTCCACTAAAGTTGGTAACAGACTCAACATCCTGCGTGCTTTAGTTTGGGAGGCGCGAATTTTTAAGTAAGCGAGTGAAATTGACTGACATCAATTTTGAGAATCACATTTGCAAAGCCGGCAAAAATCAGTTTCCGGATGGATTTTTCTGAAACTTTCCATGTCTATCGGATCAAATATCCACTAAAGTTGGTAACAGTCTTAACTTCCTGCGTGCTTTAGTTTGGGGGAAGCGAATTTTTAAGCAAGCAAGCGCAATTGACGGACAACATCAATTTTGTGAGTCCCAWTTATAAAGCCGGCAAAAATCAGATTCCGGATGGATTTTTCTGAAACTTTCCAAGTCCATCGGATCAAATTTTCACTAAAGTTGGTAAAATACTTAACTTCCTGCGTGCTTTAGTTTGGGAGGCGCGAATTTTTAAGTAAGCGAGTGAAATTGACTGACATCAATTTTGAGAATTACATTTGCAAAGCCGGCAAAAATCAGGTCAAGTGCCTACTAAAGATGCTAAAAGATGCAACTGCCTGTCTGCTTTAGTCTGGGAGATATGAATTTTTAAGTAAGCAAGGGCAAATATATTTTTTCAGGTTCACGGCTTGCGTACCTAGTGTACCTAGGTACGCATTTTCAATAAAACATTTGGATTTTCTGCTCCAAAAACGCATTATTAGCGCTCAAATGCATCTAAAGTTTGCCTGTATAACAATTCTGAATATTCTTCTATTCTATATTAAGCGTGATCGTTTTATTTTGTTTAAAGAACCTGCGATTTTCCTGCCTGAAAATGCTTGTTTGCCTTGCTTTTGTTAACCTTGAGACACCCTGTATACTCATCTTCGACTTTATTGGCTGAAAGCAGCACTTAGAAAAGTAAGTTGTATCAATATATCGAAATATTTCAAACAACATATTTCAGGCATTTTAACTAGATGTTTTTAAACTGTTTTATGAGTTATTCTCCGGATTCCTTCCAATCAGAACGAGCGTTATACAACCGGAAACAACTAGATAAAATTTCTCGCATTTATTATTTTTTTTACGGAACTCCAAAGGCGATCAACATTCACAATCGGGTATCAGTTTTGGACTTTAGGATAATAAATTTGTGCGATCCCCGTGGGTCAATTTCAAAGTTAATAAACGATCGGAAATCGGATTTAACTCCATAATTTCCAGTTTCAACTGAAATTGTTCATTCTGTCGGCTATAATTTTGCTCATTAGCTCAAAACACCTGCACCAAACTGGAACTGGACCGTGATCGACTCTCAACTCCAACTTTCAGCCTCTAAGCAAAATATTCGGTGTTTTTAGTGCGATTTACAAATTTGGGGCACACTTGCACCGATAAAACTCCTTAGCCTGTTCTTTAGGATGTTCAAGAAATGGATTGAAAAAATGGCAACTTAAAATGTTTGTTATTTTATTACCCAGGCCAGCTGAGTCTTTTTCTCGTCGGATAGTCTTAACAAAAAACTATTTTACAAATTGATTCTTAAAATTACATAAAAAGCAACTGTACACTGGCACTCGCACATCTAGTCAAATTTCAACAAATACTTTTTTCCAATCATCCCTTTAACCGTCAGGGTGTTGATGAGGGCTTCCTTATAATTGTGAAAATCGACTAGTTCATAAGATGGACCGTGCAGTTCATTGCTGGTCATCATCGATATCAGTTCAGAGTACATTTCAAAGCGATCGATGTTCGTGGCGTTTTTTTCAGACCATCTGGTCATCCAAAACCCTCTGAACTGCAAATCTTTGAAGATCAGAGCCGCAGTGGGTACAGCTAGCGGCTCCCGCGACATTCCACCGTAAGTTACCATGGGACTTCCATTCTGCAGATGTCTGGAGCATTCAAGAGCGTTTTTTCCTCCGACACAGTTCAAGGCAAGTTTCGGCTTGTTGATTTGTCCAGATTTGAAAATGTCGGTGGTTCGCAGCTCTTCTTCAGTAAGAACATGGGTGGCTCCGAGGTTGATTAAGTACGCTTTCAAATCGGATACATTGGGACGATCTCTGATGATGTTGATCGTTCGGATGCCCCAGGATCTGCATATTTGGATAATGTACTGACCGCAAGCGGAGTTTGATCCATTTTGGATGACCTGAAATTGAAGAACCACTCAATAACACCATGCAAACTGCGTGTTAAAAACATGTTTTAGAGCCATCGATCCCAGCCTGCATTTGAAGAGGAAATACATATTTGTACTTAATGATACTCACAGAATCTCCAGGTTTCAACTCGGTAAAATCCCTCAACATTCGATAGGCCGTGCAGGGATTCACTGTTAGTGTGGCAGCCTCAATCACTCCCAGTTTCTGTGGTACTTTTAAGACAATGTCCTTTGAGAGCACAAGATGCGTTTGCCAAGTGCCCAAATTTTGCCTCAACGGCACCACATGGTCTCCCTCAACCAGATCCTTCACGTTGGTGCCTACTTTAATAACTTGGCCCACTCCCTCATTGCCTGGAACAGCAGGCAGGGCAGGCTTGGAGGGATACTTTCCTTGAATTGTGTTAATATCTGCTGGATTTACTGGGGCGACGAGTAACTTGACTACCACTTCATCCGGCTGGGGATCACGCAATTCTGCAGGCGATAGATTTACTACTTTGAGCGGATCCCCGTATTCGGAGTAAAGGAGCTTCTGTGGGGCTGTGCAGTTCAGTCTTTTTGCATAAGAAGTCATGGCGATATTTTTGATAAAATTGGTTAGTAGTGGTGCTTTGGTATATAATTTAGTCATTTTATTTAGTTTTTCGTAGAATATACTGAAATGAACCGACTTGTTATGACAAAATTTGGAAGAAAACACTAAGACGACACCGATTCGTTTTGGACGTCTGTCTGATTTGGAGGTTATATTTACGTTTCTTGATATTGCTGATGTTTGGAGAATTGCTGGTTGCATAACATTGGAGATTTTGTATTTCATTTATAATTTTTGTATTATTAGGTATAAACTCATAAGCAGATGAATTGCTACTCCGTATTTTGTTTATTTATCAAATGATAAAATTCGAAATAAATTAAATTGAAAGTCAAGCATATATAAAATTATGAAGGCAAATTTATGTTTGACTCATTTAAAAATTTAAAACACACTATTATTAAGGCGCTTTATACATTTACAAACCTCTCATAGTGTGGAAATAGACAATTTTTGACCGAAGGTGCATCTGAAAACTTAACAATAAATTATTTTATGGCCAATTACAAGAAATATTATTTAAACAGTTTTTAATTCCACTGTTTAAATAAAAACGCTGTTTGCTGGTTTTCGATGAGAAAAATGGAGGTATTTATGAGTGAAAGTTCAAAATTTGGATAAAGGTGACAATTTTCATGCTGCATGTGTCATATAAAGGACTTTATCACAAAATATAAAAAGGCTAATAAAATAAATATGTAATAAGAACAGGGGTAAATTAGTTAAAAAAGCCTTGAAATTAAATCCAAAATAAGGAAATGACAGCGAGACGACACGCAAAGTACCTACTTCGTTGTTATAGTCAATAGAAAATATTAATCTTCAAGTAGCTACTTTACAAAATCATGTCTTTTTGTTTTATTCGAGGGCTTGAAATATTTATCTACAAAAATACTTAAATTGTGCTTCAAATGAGATCTACGTCTCGAATTCGGATCGTCAATAAAACTTTCTATTGAATTCGAGTACTGAGAGGAAAACGCCTAGTTTCCGACCGCCAGGGGTTATATTTGGTAGTTAAAAATGTATATTAGGAAAGCCGCTAGGAATATTTCAATGAAATTTTACAGTCTGAGACCTAAAAATCTTGCATGTTCTGAGACAAAAATTGTATTTATAATTTTACCAGTGGCGTGGGAGCGGCACCGTCTGCAAAATATTAAATACAAAACGTATACGCTACTGATTTTTCACAAAATAAAACTGTTCCTCGATTTCTCGTTCAATTTGGAAGAGCAACTTCTTCAAAGCTTTTTTGTATGAGGAAATGTTTTGGGAAAAAAGTAATCTACAGTTGAGTCCGGATATATCCGGAGTTCGCTAGAAGCGAATGATAATACAAAAACACGTGGTGTATTTTATTTCATTATTTTTACGTAGAGTAGTAGCAGTTAGAATGTATGACTAAAAAGAACACAAAAAGATAAACAAAATTCAATTTGAAATCTACTWCATAAAGTCTGTAATTTTTGTTTGTACATTTCTGCTGCAAAAATAGATGTTATTTATGTAGTTTTCAAGATCACAAAAGGACTCCCAGATATGATTAGGAACTTGGCGTGATTGTAGAAAATTTCGAGTTTCTGACACTTTTTTTGTCATTTCAGAAATGATTGGAACAGCATTAGTGTCTACAGCAGAATACGTTTTACCTAAATCGTTATCTTTCGCATTATCGCTTAAAGCTGTAGGTGAGGTTACGGAGTCTATAATTTTATCATCGGTCAACATTTCTCTTGTACGAATATTCACATATTCGAAGAAATTGAAATCACTCAATTTGGTTTTAACTTGTTCTTCGCCAACATTGGGACATCTTCGTTTGTGTCATACTCGTAGTCAGTATATACAGACGTAGTCAGTAGAGTCTTTATACTTTTCTAACCATTCGTTAAGTGGAATTTCATCGTCTGGTTCATAATCATTTTCTTTTCTTACAAATCCCCCTTGCTTAAAGCAATTTGCAATGGTTTTGCGGCTAACTTTTTGCCAAGCTCTATGAAAGAAATTGACTGCATCTAAGAGATTTATAGAAAATGTTTCATTTTTATCGATCGCCTCTAACGTTTTCATAAGAAGAATTTTTCACCGGCAGACTTTCCAACAATTTTTCCGCTACTGATATTATGCCTCGTCTTGAAACGCTCTTCCCAACTTTTAGAACAAGCAAACTCTTTGTTTTTGATTTTACACATTTCACTAGCATTTTCTTGCAAAACACTGCAACTTATGGGAATGTTTTCTTGTCTTTTTTGAGGAAACCACTTAATAAGTCCCTTGTCAACCTTTTCATGTGCAGATAATTTTAACTTCCTACTTCAAACATTTATTTTGTCATACGCTGATAAAATGTGTTCTCTGTTTTTCCATATTGTTGCAACAGTACTTTCCAAGTGCTAATTCCTTACAAATGTCACTCTGCTTTACTCCACATTTTGTTAATAATTTCGTACTTTTCATTTAGTGCAAAAGCTTTGCGTTTTTGTTTTTCCATTCTAAAACCATTTACATACATAACGCGGCAAAAAACAACAAGTCGCTGCCTGTCTCTGGCTCTCACTAATATAAACAACTCCGCCGGATTGGTGTTGCTGAGCTTGGAAGTTCGTTATAAACGGAAAGTGAATATACAACTAACCTAAAAAGTGATCGTTATATACGGAAGTTCGTTACAACCAGTAAAAAAATACGTTGGTCTTTATGGACGACGTTTCAATTAAACGAAAAAAGTTTGTTTTAACCGAAAGTTCACTATAACCAGGTTAATTATAAGCCGACTTCACTGCATCATTTCAGCAATAAACATTTGAGGGTCCAATTTTATGGCTTTTTTGCTGCAGTCCCAATAACTCACCCCTACAGCATACTGGTAAGCCCTTTCAACATGACAGTGGTCAACCTATTTTTTGGACGTTTGAGAATATCCAAAAAGTAAGTCCGACTGCTTACCTCTTTTTCAAAGTCCCTGGGCATGAATCAGCTAATATACCTGGTGCGCCCACAACATTTCCATTAGAAGTAACGATGTCGAATCCTTCAGGCAGTCAAGCACGTGAAGAAACTGCAAATAAAAAGCCAGTCTTCTGCTGCAGTTTTTTTCAATGTCGATGTGGAAGTAAGTGAAAACTCCCTATGGTTATCAGATTAATTACATTTTTTTTAAATGGAAACGTGAAACCTGGAGACATTTTTTAGGTCATTATTTTCCTCAGCGGATCATTTTAGCACTTTTGCTTCATTTGTTCATGCAAAACAACTTCACCACCAGGGTGGTACTGAATGTAGCCATTGTGGAAATGGTTCAACCGCCTCCGGAGGAAACTGCACATCTTCAGGCTTGTCCTCAATTTAACGCCCCGAATAAAACCCACGAGGTAAGTTCCTATGCGCACTTACCAGCTTACCTGCATTATTAGGGAATTTTATTACATGTTTTTTTTGAGTTGTAAATTTTGTTAATTCTTCGCTTTATTATTGGTTCGAAAAAATTTTTTTTGTTTGTTATTATTAAGTAATATTTTTCTGATTTTTTTAAATTTGCTTGTCTGTAATTTGGGAGTGATAATTTTATAGCTCTATCTGTAAGTGCAGTTATTACGCTTTTTTATACGTCAATTCGTCCGCCGTCGTACGAACTGACAGATCTCCAACCAATAGGAACACTTTCGTATCATCGTACCATCGTATAAACGGATCAATGGGACACAGGCCGACTCTTCAAATATCTTCTTGGACTGCGCAGCTTCTTCAATATGTTCCCAATAAACCTACAGTTGAAATGGACGAAAAACTATCAACAGTTTCAAAAATAAAAATTCCTTTTGCTTTCAGGGTGGTAAATTTCCTTGGCCCGCACACACCAAATCACTGGTGCTTTACGCCTTTTACATTGGTTACACATTTACTCAGGTCCCAGGAGGATGGTTGGCCGATAAGTTCGGAGCTCGGCCAGTCATATTGAGCTCAATAGCTTGCACCACATTAGCTACAGCCTTATTTCCTGTTATGACCCAGAAATTCGGTTATCTTGCTGCGGTTGGCCTGAGATTCATGGTGGGAACCTCTCATGTAAGTGGGTGGGTAAATCCTCTACTTCCTAACCATTAGGCATGGGTAACACAGTGTTCAGTTGTTGCCGCTCTGTGCGCTAATGAGTTATAGCTCATCACTGCGCCGCACTTTGAATTTTAAGCCCTCAAAAAAAGGTCACCACATTTTTTGGCCTCATATTGAAGGAAAAGTGGAAACTGCCCCATTAATAGAGGAAATTATTCTGTCAGGCAAACAGTCAGCTTAGTTATTGTGTGAATTTGACTCCGATTCAAATTCACAGGTTCTTGTTCTTGAACCTGTCAAATTCACAGAATCTTCACACGGAAGCTTGTGAAGTAACCAATGCGAGAATAGAGCAATGAAGCATCGACAGGGCAAATTATTAAATAATCATGTTTGTTCTGTACTTCGGAGACTTTTTTGAAAAGTGGTATGAATATTCAGGTTGCTACCGACAGTGTTGTGTGAATCACGTTCTTAGATGGGAAATATCGAATTATTGTGGCCCTTAAGAACGTTCGTTTTTACCAAAATTTCATGATTTCCGTCCCATTTTTGCTCATATTTCGGAGGCAAAATGAGCAAGAACGCTCATTTGTACATCATTCTAGAGATAAATAAATGGCCTGTTTAGAAAGTGAACCATGGATAAGATAATGTTGGCAGTTTTCTCAAAAAATGCTTGAATTCAAGAAGTTTTACATTTGCGTGGTTTTTTTTTGAGTTGCAAAATCCACTTGAACATGACGCTGCTTTTTTAGAAGTTTCTCAAGAACCATTCGAGCCACAGAATTCGTTTTGGCATCGTTGGATAGAGAATTGAAAAGCCGATTCAGTCGTAACAATGTCAGTGAGAAAAAAAATAGTTTTGACCCAGAAAGCGAAATTTGAATATCAGACACTTAGGTGCAAGATTATGCCAAAATTCCATGTTTTCCGTCCCGTTTTTGCTCATTTCTCGGCGCTCATTTGCACATCATTCTAAACAGAAATAAATGGCCTTTTCAGAAAATGAACCATAGATGGGGAAATATTGGCAGTTTTCTTAAAAAATGCTTGAATTCAAGAAGTTTTAGATTTGCATAGTTTTCTTTGAGTTGCAAATTCCACTTGAACCTGACGCTTCTTTTTTCGAAGTTTCTCAAGAACCATTCGAGCTAGAGAATTCGTTTTGGCATCGTTGAATAGAGAATTGAATGGGGTGGGGGGTCACCGACCCCCCCCCCTGGATCAGCCTTTGCCCTTATGGCAAGTGCGGTAGTTTGTGGAAGTGTAGTGAACTCCTTAATGGGTAGAAAATGGAGGATGGGGCGCCAGCTTGCAGAAAGCTGGTAAGAATCATCTCTAATCTAAAAATCTTTTATATTTAACTGTGATTAGTTTTCCGACAAGCAACTGAAATTTTATGGATTCTTTACATTGCTCCCTCTTTGCTTCACTGATTTTGGAAATTGGAACTTTTTAATGAAGGGTCCGCAGTTGCGTAAATCCGTTTATTTTTAAATCAAATCAACACTTACAAAGCGCGCAAAATTCACGATTTGTGACTTGAATTAATTATTGAATTAATAATTAAAGGTTTGAAGACATTTTGGCGACATTTAGAGCGCACTCTGACCGGCTCAGGACTGGGATTTAATAAAAAAAGTTAGCACATTTCTTATGAGTATGACTGAACCGGTGAGTTACTGTGCCGGTGCGTTGGGTTGACGCACCAAACCGGCATCACTGCGCCAATTCCTGAAAATTCACTGAGTTACCCATGCCTCCTAGGCATTGTCTTAATTAGCTTCTGAGCTTATTAGCTACTTGTCTTTATCTATGCTTCTGGGCGTCTACTATGCTTTAATAATATTTTTCAGGGTTTTTGCATGCCGGCTTTGTCCTCCCTAGTCAGCACCTGGTTTCCTCCAAAGGAACGCCCCATATGGGGCGGTCTGGCTTATGCAGGAACCAACTTGGGCACCATAATGGGGAACATCATCAGCGGGTTTTTGATTCACAAGTTCGATGGCTGGCCAGTGGCGTTTTACTTCTGGAGCGCCTATTCTGGACTCTTTTTCCTGCTGGTTTTGCTGCTGCTTTTCTCATTCCCCGACACCCACCCCTACATATCCAAGGCGGAGGCTGATTATATAAGAATGGAAAATTGTAAAAGTGTTTCGGACAATATAAAGAAAAAGCTTCTAAATCAGTGTGTGAAATATTCCAGCTGGAAATCGCACAGTGGTTGGACGATCCTTCAAAACGCCCTGGAAGGCGATTTTATTGAACGGGCCCTACTGGGCCAATATAGCTGGGCAGTTTGGACACAATTACATTTATTTGTCTTTGGTCACTTATCTGCCCACTTACATGAGGGAAATCCTGCAATTCGATGTTGCCAATGATGGTTATTTCGCTGCCATTCCCTTTGTAGCCCTTTGGATCATGTCTTTGATCTACAGTACAACGGCGCCGTTGATTATTAAATGCACGTCGGAAAGGGCTTTTAATTCCGTTTTAGGAGCTGGATGTAAGTATAGTAAAGCCGGTTAAGATCAATGAAGAACTGTAGTCTGACGAATGCAAGAAAGAGGGGAACTGGAAAAAGGAAGTCAATAAATATCATGAATTTTCTTGTGTGTCATGAAATTTGTCTAATGCATCAATTTAGTCTGAAGTGCTCTCGAATCTAAAATATTTCGCATTTTTCACTTTAGTCATTGTGGTTTTCACAATTTGTTTGTTGCAGCTCTCCATTCTGTTAATTTTACTGCTTTAACTTATCTAAAGGTCAAATTGAACTGTCTTTGTATTAGTTTAATTGTTATGTATTTTTTGTTTGTCTTTGCAGAACTCTTTTACTTTTGATTTCGTATCATGTCAGTCATCATTTTCATCGCGTCCTTACATTTTCAATAATGTTTTTTTCGGCCTAATTTAATTAATATTTCGCAAGACGATGCGAGCTCAGCTTTTTACAGTTTCTACGTCCGTTTTGAAGCATTTGATGTTTCTTCTCAAACATCTCGATTTCACTTTCTTCGTGCTGAATTTATTGCTAATCAGTAATTGTTCAGGTTTGTGGGTTATCATATAGTGATTTATTTTTGCCACCATCTAATGACCGAAAACCCACAAACCTAAACAATTACTGATTATCATCACGGTTACTAACTAAACACAACATCGTTATTGCTAATGTTTGCGATGCACAGATCAAACTTAAATCAATTTCTTCCTAATCTTCTCAATATCATTATTACTAATTTTTATTTAATTTTTTCAAAACTTTGTTAGCAAATGTAGCCTCAGCTGCGATAGTCTTGGGAGCAGTTTATGCAGCTTGTAACAGACAGTTGTGCATCGGACTGTATATCTTCAGCATGATAATCAAAGCTTTTTACTATGCCACCTTGCCGGTTAACATAAATGGACTGTCGAGGAACTATGGAGGCATTATGTTCGGGCTTTGTAACGCTCTTGGATCAGTGAGTGGAATCATTGGCAATTTCATCATAGGAGCATTAACGAAACATGTAAGTTCGCAGGAAGAAATTTCTCAATTGCCTCAAACTCATGTGTATTTCTGGGATATTTTAGAAGCAACTGCATGAATGGCGTTTGGCTTTCTGGATCACCTTCGGCGTTTGTGTTGTGACAACGGTGATATTTTTCCTGTTTTCGTCGACGGAAAGACAGAAGTTTGACTACAACGAAGAAGAATTAGCAGAAATGCAAAATTCCTAAATTTATAATAAAGAAACCCACTTCAATTAATTACATTTCTTTATTAAAGCCTGATTCGCCCTGGCATTCTCTTTCATGATATCCGACTCGCCCACAGTACTCGAGCTGGAAGCGTTCAAACTTTCAGTATGTCCAGTCATGCTTGTAGGTGGCCCCAAGTTTCGCTCACTCCCAAAGGACTCTTCAGACGTAACACCGTCCATCATCTGATTATTAAATCGCACCTCCAAGTCGAACTTCCGCTCTGTTCGGAACTGGACATTTTTCGCTCTGTTCTGCATTAAGCTCTGTCGCTGTTTTTCCTCAAGAATGCTGATCACTCCAGGTCGAATTTCCCCCTTTTCGGTGAAAAGACCGATGGTGCGCAGCACTTTCTCGTTTGCTTTCGATTTGTCCTTGTCGGTCAGCTTCAAGGGGTTACACTTCAGTAGATGGTCCTCTGGGTCTACACTTGCATGGGCTAGAATAAAAAAACCATCTGAAACACCCATTTTCAGTTAATCTTCTTCAACTTACCGAAGCAGCCCTGCCAAAACTTATCATCTTTTCTGCCCCCCTTCCTACCATACTCCAACTTTTGCCTGCTGAAAGCTGCAGTTGTTTTCAAGTTGCGCTTCTGAAACTCCTCGTCATTCAATATAACGCTCTCACAGGAACTGAAGTCCTTTTCGCAATCATCCCCCCAGCCTTGCACTAAATCGTCATACTCAATAAAGCGGGTAAAATCCTCATTTGATTCACTTTTGATCGTCTCCCGGGAAATTTTCTTGAACATCTCATTCACGCGCTTCGGGCTGCGACATTGGGCTTGATTGAGGACCGTCATTGATTGCCTGGTTACTTGGAAGTTTGAGTAAATATTTGAGGCAGCCCTAAGGAAGAACTCCCTATTTGGAACCAAGCCTAAGGTACCGAGGGATGGTTCGTTTGATAGTCTGGGGGACGAGGGTGCTGAGCTGGAGCTTTGGGAAGGAGTTTGGTGGCTTCTCAACGCGTACTCTAGCAGGTTGAAGCCTTTTGGTCGAGTCTCCAGTGGGTTTGGTGTGGCATGCTGATTTTCTTCTTGGGAGTTGGCACCTGTAGGCTTTCGATCTCCACTTTTGGGGTTGGCCGATGTTGCCTTCTTGGTGTGTTTGGGATAGATTGGAGGCTCATTCAAGGGAACGTCGTTTTTTATTAAATATTCAATGGATTTATTCTCGAATTCGTTGCAGGTCTTCAAAATTTCCCTGAAAGTTGACGAGAGGGCCTTCATGTCCTTTCCATTGGGCTTGATAATGTCTTTTCCCGATCTAACCAGTCTGGATGGAGAGGTGGCTGAAAATCTCTCAATTAGTGGCAGGTTTCGTCTTCGCTCCGGTTACTTACAGAGTGGGTTCTGGATGTGGAAATCCTCTTTTGAGTCCTCGCTGGATTTCACGCAAAGTATTTTTGCGCTGCTCTTTGCAAGTCTTCGAACCTCCTCACAGTTGTTAGGAGGATTCGGGAGTTTGGGCAAAAACTGCTTTAAATCGAACAAGATTTGCTCATCCTCTTCTTCCACTTTGGGTGAAAAATTCATTTTACTGCTCGCCTCCGATTTGCTGGTTTGCTCATTATCTGTCGATCCAGGCGTCTGGGTCCTCGCCAAAAACACTTCCAAGACACTAAAATAATTTGGCACTTCGGGAGCGCGAAAATCAAAGGAACGTTCACCAATCAAATGAGCACTAGCAGCCTGCCCTCGAAACACACTGTTGATGAATTCGTGGCAATTGTTGAGGAACTTCAAGGTGTTGCTATATTGTTCTTTGATTTCGTCCACGGACATCGCGCTCAAGTCACAAACGCTTAGAAAAATATCAGTTTGAATGGACACGGAGGATTTTTGGATCTGACTGGGTGGTTTTGAGGGAAACTTAACGGAAGATCTCGATTGGTGATTGAAATACAAGCCAGATTTTCTGGGTTGGGACTGCATGATTTTGGGAAACTTGCGACAGATTGGGGTTGAAGTTTGGAGACTCGATTTGACAGAAATTGGTGGAAGGGGCTAAGAAAAGGGTGAACCTGGACGTTATGTAAATGTTCTAGAAGATCATGGTCAAGTTGTAAAAACGCTAATAAATAACAAAAGTGCAAAACCACAATTGCGAGTTTTCTTCCGAATATTATTACACAACAGGATGCACCGCCGGTGTTCACATAAAACATGAAGGTAAACACGTGTGTTATTTTGTCTTGTTCAAGCTTTTTTCCAAAAAACAGTAAATGTACAATTTGCGCTACAAAAACCCGTTTAATGCGATTTAAATCTGAATTCCCATTAATATTTTAATCCCGAAAAAACGATAACTTGCTAGCGTCTCCATGCTTTTTCAAATTTCCAATAAATGTACACCCAACTCGCTAAACTACATCATTTTATTACATCATCACATTGAAATCGACATTCTGAGCCTTATTCAACTTAAAAATCTCAAATCGACGTTACTTTCACCATTAAACATTGCTGTGTCTGCGGATTAATTGACTAAAATCACAAGAGCTGCATGGTTTTTACGCCCATCTCCATCCACCGCACGAAGGACACCCTGGGGTGTCCCATGAGTGTTGACAGGGCGGACATCCCCATGGTGGAGGCGGATGGGGCCCGCAAGGGTCCAAAGGTATGACCGGCGCACCAAATCCTGGATCGCATGGAGGCGGTGGGCAGCCCCATGGAGGTGGCGGCGCGCCCCATGGAGGAGGCGGACCTCCGTGATGTGGAGGTGGTGGAGGCGGACCCCCGTGGCAAGGCGGTGGGCCACCGTGGCAAGGAGGCGGTGGTGGACCGCCGTGGTGGTGGCCGGGCCAAGACATTTCTGCAAGTGAATTTTTTCGGTTGGGAAAATTAAATTCTGGGGTTTGTGGAGTGTTTTTGGGCAGCTTTTTCGTTTAGAATGTTTGGAATTAATCCAGTTCACAGGCCTAGAGGTTTGAAAAACTCAGAAAACGGGGAATTTTCAGAAATTATTTGATGTTTATGAATAAGCCTCATTCTGGAATATCCATATAACGATAAACGAATTAAAGAACCCAAAACATCCTCAAGTGCACTTACCTTTTATGGGATATTGAAGCGACGGGTAAGTAGCTGTCTAAACGGAAACCTCACCAGATATGAGTATGAATATCAGAAAACAATTAATATGTTTGCTTTTCGGTATGTTGACTAATCGCCTAATCAATAAGGAGGATTATGATTGTATCTTATCTGTATTTACCAGCTAAACTTGCATCAGCGAAGCTATCACGACTCATATTCGTTTATTTACCTTCAAATTTACTTTTCCAAGTGTTTTCCTTATCACACTTGGTTAACGCAGGGTGAGGCCCTTTTCATATAAGCATTTTGCAAGACACAATTTCCTGAGGACGCTTTCATGATTTTTCTCTAGCTAAACGAGGCGCAACATGAAAAAATTACATACAACCGCCGCAAGGAGAGAAGCGAGATATTCGTTTTCCATCCAAGCTGGTCTCAAGCAAAAATTTCTTCAAAATTGAAGAAAATCAGAAGACAAAACACAAAATGAGTCATGCATAAATACACAGGAACAAGCACACAAATAAAAGGTTGTGTAAACATTTAGTGATGAAACATTCCTTTATTCATTCAATGACCATATTGTTGGCCCGCATGTTATCTTGTCGATGAAAGTTTCCAAAACCAAAATACTGCGAACTGATTTGCTGTTGAACTCAAGTACCTGTTGACAGATTTCATATCACCACATAAAGATAAACCTTTGCCGTCTGCTATAAAAGGTGACTACATTCATTGTTTTAACTAACTAGTTTGCTTGTTGTCCTCTTGAGCAAGATGCCACCACCACCACACGGTAAGAAAATTTTTATTGAAACATTTTTTTGCGCTGATTCTTGAAAGATTATTAAATATAATTCAACATCGTCGCTTCTTGCAGGTCCACCTCATCATGGGCCTCCCCACCATGGGCCTCCCCACCATGGGCCTCCCCACCATGGGCCGCCCCATCATGAGCCACCCCACCATGGGCCACCCCACCATGGACCGCCTCCACCACATCACGGCCCACCCCCACCACATCACGGCCCACCACCAGCATTTGGATTACCTCCATGTGGACACCACTCCCATTTCTATGGATGCAATCATTGTTTGGGCTGGAGATGGTAGATTTCTAGGGCCGAGATGATTATGATTAATTTTTTGTATTAAACTATTTATATCAATTGTGTTTTGTATGTTATTTTTACTTAATCGTGCGTCCTCAATCCTGATGCGAAATTACTTCTGCGAATTTGGTGTTAGTGGATTATTCTAAAATGCTCAGTCAGTGATAAAAATGTCGTTTATTTTAGCTGCAAAGTGGCAATTTAAGTAGGTGGGTACACACAATAAATCGCTAATCCTTAGAACCGGTATTAGGTAGGTAAAGATAACAGAGAACTATTAAAGGTAAATGCGTAGAAGCAAACATTTACTTTAGTAGAACTTTTCACTCCAGCTAAGTCCCGGAATGTCCAGAAGACCATTTGGTAAGCGTGACTGCCTTTAATATGTCTATTTACTTAACTGTCCTCCTCCTCAGGTCCTCCGCATCGAGGCGGTCCTCCACCCCCGCCACATGGCGGACCGCCGCCTCCTCCTGGACCTCCAATGCATCATGGTCCTCCTCCCCCTGGACCACCAATGCATCGTGGTCCTCCTCCCCCTGGACCTCCAATGCATCGTCGTCCTCCTCCTCCTCCTGGACCTCCAATGCATCATGGTCCGCCTCCGCCAAGACCTCCGTGTGGGCATAGAACTAGATTTCTGACCTGTGGCCACTGTAGAGCATGGAGATGGTAGCGTTAGAATTAAGAGTGTCTTCGTTTTTTGTGGATATTTTTTTAATATTTAGGGTTGTTTGTACATTAATTAATTAAATCAAATAGATCGCCGATAGTCAAGCATTTTTATGAATGTAATTTTACGGAAAAAAGGTGTTTTAATGTTAAATTATATCAATTTATTTAAGGCACAAACTGATTAGATTCATAAACGTACATTTCAAACATATTTGTTTTTTTATAGCATAAAATGTTTATTTCACATACTACATATTATTTTTTGCTTTCTTTAGCTAATCAAGTTTATTCCGAAAGATTATAAGTAAGTCTGTGAAAAGATCGAGATAAATTGATATGCGTTTTGCACATCAATTTCTAAGCTTCAAGTTAAGACGGTCATCATCATCTGAAAAACTGGCAAATCTGTTTTTTGAGTCAAAACATAAAAAGTTCTGTAAAATCTATAAAACATCTAATACATGATAAGACACGGTGTAAAATAAGGTTTTCGAATGTTTTATTATTATCATACAAGCACATAAGATAAGAAATAAAAACTAGAAAATTTTCCAGTTCGATTTGCGATTGAGATGCATCACTGCGTAATATTCGTTAATAGATATGACTAGACACAGTCACTATCTATCTAATGAATGTTTATTTTTAATAAATGGTTTGACAGCATTTTCCATGCCATCCATGGAAAAAAGTTGTTCTTCGTAATAGAGAATTTACAGACAAGTTGTTGAAGTAAAGTTTAATGAAAGGATTGTCTCTTTTGAACACCCGGGCTTCACCGCTTTACCGCGCTGATTCGAGCGCCAATCGCGCAATCGAGTTCCAGGTTAGTATGGGTTGTTCAAAATAATTAAAAGAGTTTTTGCATGGAAAAACTGATGTTTTTGGGTGAAAGTAACAACTTGCTTGAAGAAAATCGGTTTCGGGCGTATTAATAGGAAAAAACCAAACAATATGAACAACAGTGGATTTATTAACAAAAACTCTTTAACACATTTTCCTCTGCAATTGGCTCACTCTTTGAAACAAAAACTGAATATCGTTGCCACCAGAACGAACATTAAAAATAAACTAAATTTGCCTATATCCAGCCTAGGAACAATTGGCAAGTTGATTGCTAAAAGCTTCTTAACGGTGTTCAATTTTTTCTCGGTATATGGAGGATACCTTAACTGTTGAACGTATTCGTCGAGCTTGCTCAGATTTTTGATTAGTACACCTTTTTGATGCGAAAACGTCTTGAACGAATGGTGTCCATGGTAGGCTCCAAAGCCACTGCTTCCAACACCCCCAAATGGTAAAACCTCGCAGGTAAGTTGCATGATCACATCATTTACACACACGCCACCACTTGATGTGCCTTTGATGAACTTTTGCTGCTCCATCGGACTAGAACTTTACAGAAGAAATTGTTTTTACATGGTGTTATTGTTTGTGTTTGTTGTTTAGTAAGCATTTTTACCTGAAAACGTAAATAGCCAGCGGTTTTGGGCGGGCATTGATAAACTCGATGGCTTCTTCAGGTGTAGCCACAGTCAGGATCGGAAGAACTGGCCCGAAGATTTCTTCTTGCATTATCGGGTCATCGGGGTTAACGTCGATTAGGATGGTTGGTTCAATGAAACGGTCTTGAGGATCAGTTTTGCCTCCAAGTGCAATCTTGTGGCCTATTTGGCCATAAATACAAATGAAGATTAATGGGAGAAATCTTGAAAGCATTAAGGTGTAGGAGGTATCAGAGGTAAACACTTAGAAACATTGGAAATACGTTGTAGATTTAAATTACCAAGTTACACAATTGAAAAGTATGTTAAATTAATTTCAAAATTTATTAAATTTTCTGAATTTTTTTTGGTCGGTAATTTGTGTCATTGCTTACCTTCGATCAGCTTGGACACTCTTTGGAAGTGTTGGTCATTAATAATTCGACCATAGACGTCATTCTGAGCAATATTTTCCCCATACCTGCAATAAATAAATGTATTCAACAGTTCGGTTATGCAATAATCACTTTTTATTAGATAAGTGTTGAAAAAAACATAAAACATTAATAATTTTTAAAAACCCAATTGTTTTGTAAACGGAGTACTCTGTATTCTAAGAGTTTGATTGTTTGAAATATAAATTTCAATTTCTGGTTTTGGATAGTTTAGTCTCAAACATGAAGTTAAGTTAAGTTTTTATTA